CATCCTTGATCACATCATCCTAGCCTCAGAGTGCATCATAACCCTCATGGATGGTCTCATCAGGGCCCTTTTGTGCTCTAATTCAAAGCTTGAATAGTTCAAAGTGGCCTACACAGGAAATGAGCCCAAATTCTACATGCAAGATTGAATTATGCATGCAGTACATGCAATTCTCATGAAATCAAGCTTGCATAAGCAGATTTCTATGTATGCAGCTACCTTTACAATTGCACAGCCAATGCACAGTAACTGCAGCCCACTCAATTATGTGTGAAATGAGCCACAAAACTCAATTATGCAAGTATGATCTCATGTCAGATTCCATCAATGCACAGCTTTCAGCAACTGTGATGCCAATGAGGATGTTTTCTAGCTACATGTGGTGCAAAAACTAAGATGTTAGAGTTTGAACTCTGGGACCAAAGATTCTGGGGTATAATTCCAACAATTAGTGGTAATTACAAGGTTCTTACATAGTAGAAATGACTAGTTATCAATAAATATAGATATAATTTAAACTGAAGGGCCTGATGAATCAGGGGTTACTTAATCCCTCAAAGGTATCTTGCAAAAGGAGAGGATTTGGGTACCTGATAACACTGGGGCCTGTTAAAAGTTGTGGTTTAAATCCCAGAAGAAAGTGGAAATATAAGCATATCAAGTCCAAAATGGGCTATTAGCATCTTTACTTATACTTATAAGCATATCTTGGTTTTTGTCAATCTATGACATATGCTCTATTTGTTTAATGTAGATTTACTGCATGAAGGAGTTGGAATGTAGGGTACCTTTGATTGAGATACCCTGGCTTATTCTTCAAGTAGATTCAGAATTTTGAAGAAGAATACCACTTTTATCTGTATTTCTTATTTTATTTTCAGTATGATCTATAAAAATATATATCTTGTGAGTTATAATATTGTTTTATATTTTCTACAATGTTTGTGTACTATGACAGGTTGTCTCTGCTTACTATAGTAGCAAGCTGGCAACAGCACTGTGCTGCTTAATTTCCCATGATTACACAAGACTGTAGAGCTTCTAGGAAGCTCCCTAGTGTCCTGAGGGCCCCTGATCTTTCCCCTTGGCAAGTTGACCCTCTGTAGAATATCCAATGAGCCCAGATTCCTACCTTTTTCCCCCTAGAAATTCTAGTAGCATCAAAACAACACTTGTACTGTGATTATTAGTGACCCAACCCACCAATAAACTTACAACTAAGCTACCTTAGATTTAAATATATTTACTCTACAAGAGTAAAGGTCTTTCTACTTATTTCTATTGCATAAATAATTCCCCATGTGTATAATTCCTGTCCTTAAATATTAAGACACTGATTAACTTGAATTGTTGTCAAGACTTATCCCAAGTGAGTTGAAGTATTCCTCATCTTGGAGGCCTCTTGATCCATGTAATTGGATTGATCTGTATGACCAATTCCTCACTGACTCCTCCCTGTTTGTTTTACAGGTTGAGGGATTTAACCACAAATAAAGCTTCAAAGTAACCATATTTTTAACACTCATAGCACAACCCTTAAGGTTAGTAGCATAGTGTCAGACACTGAGGCTGTAGCCCATGTGTCTACAACCTGTACTTAACCAACAAGCACATGTACTGTAGTGTATTGGTTAAGGACTGTGTTATGACTTTGCCTCACCAATACACTTGGGTTAAAATCCCAATTATGTAATCTTATATTTTTATTATTATTTTATTTTTATACTTTTATGCTTTAAGTAATTCCACGGAATTACTTAAGTATTTACCTCTGTATTAATATTCATATTTAGAAAGATTATCTACATATAGTCTGAAAGCTTAATCATCTCTCTATACACTGTAATTAGAGAGATGACATCATTCTTTCTCCTGTGAGTTTGAATGACATCATTCCTCCACTTCTGGTTTAAATCTTAATTTAAATACATGTTTTGATCATTTATGAGTTAAATACATAAATGATCCTCTGCAGGCCTCACCGGTCTCATAGGCAGGTTGACCCCTGCCGTTGTAATACTTAAGGGGGAGGTCTTCTTCCCAAGAATCCTCCCCCCAGAGATTACCATACAAACCCGTCCACCTTACAATAAAATCTGTGAGTGGGGTTTACAATCTACTATTAAACCTTCTAAAAAACCCTTTCCCCAATCCTCTATCCTGTACCAACCCATCCTAGACTACTGTAAAGTCACTACAGTAGCCTAGAAGAGAGACTGTTTAGCTCTAAGCCCGGCGACGCGACACTCATACCGCATACGTCCCCTTACTAAGGGTGCTTAACCCCTCCGCTTACTAGCATCGAAGTGAGGTTCCATTTCTACTGGCTTTCACAAGAAAGCTATAGTACGACCCTTTCCACCCCATCAACGCCGAGTCACTTTAGAGACCGGCGCTGACACATAGAGACTGACACACACATGTCTACAAATTTCTATTGAAAACAACTTGAGACAAAGTTCAAAACAACCAAAATCTAACAGAGTTCCAACCAAATCTATGACCAATTTCAGTGATGGCACCCAAAAGCAGATGCCACGCAAACTCTCATGGTGTGTGCAAACAATTTTTTTGATGTAATTGTTCAGGTTTATAACAGCAGTTTTTATGGGGTATCCTGCATGTGAACTGGGCAGTTGAGCAAGTTTTCCTTGTAGTGAAGCAACCTCCTGGCTGAAATATGATAAATTAGATAAAAAAAATAGAACATATTATTGATGAATTTACAAAATATAAAGTTTTTTACTTTGAGAGAAGTAACCTCCCTGAAATGTATAATTCTGCAGAAATTTTAAAAGCTTTACTGCAAAACCAAGCATAATCCTTTGGATATTCTTCTTGTAAAAAGAATGTGAGGATTTTCACCAATTTAATTGGTTCTACATTTTGAGATCTTGGACCAGATATAAAATCAATCAAGCATAATCTTAGTGGTGTGAGATTGAAATCTGAGATTGAATCTACATCTGTAATTCTACCCATGAGTGGAACACCTAACTTTGGTTTCAAGATAGCTTCAGAAAGCCAAGATAGAAAATAATTTCTCATATCTTCTCTGTCCTTTTGATTTATGAGTGAAAAATAGGTAATGTCTTGATAGAGAATGTCAAGATTATTTACCAAAGTCTCCATATCCTTGCTGAATTCTGAAATTGAAATTGGGCCTGTATTATCAGATCTCAAAACATTGACATAGTTCAAACCATCTTTGGTAAATAATGCAATTGGTACTCCTGAATCATTTATGACTTGAATTTCAGAAATCTTGAGTTCTTCTTGAGGGAAACTTTTTTTGAGTTCTGATAATTTGAATGAGTCCATCCCTGGGCTTTCAAAATTGTTTCCCTTGCTTTTCCCAGACATTTTTTTACTCATTTTCATAAACCATGAGACCAAACCATCAAACTTTTTGTCTGTGCTAAAATCAGGTTTCAAACCTCCAAATTTCATTTTTTCTGGTTTGCACATCAAATCCAATTTTAGTATCATATTGGTTTGGAGTTGAATTATAATAGTTGAGCCAATGGAAAATCAGTTGATCAGTCCATCAAAGTGTTCAAAATATTGTACATCATTACTAATATTGATTATGAAAACTCACTGTTAACATAGTTAGAGTATTCTTTTACTAGATATGGGGCCAATTTATCTAAATTTGACCAATCAGACTTTTCATTTTCAGAGAAGTATTTTAATGTATTCTTCTGAATATCTCCAAAGTTTTCTTCATTTAGTCTTGATCTGGGTATATTCTTGTCAAAAATTCCATAAATTGGGAGGCCTTTTTCTGGTGAGAACATTTGCATTTTCAACCAGTCAAAGAGTTCTTTGAATTCCTTCATATAATCAACATTTTCAAGCTTGTTGACCTTATCTAGTTGTGCCTTCCACATTGATCCAATCAACAACTTGTAGTGTTTTTTTAGTGTTTTTTCTTCCTGGTGCAATAGTGGTTCACTGCGGGATTTATATATATCTATCCTTGGGTTCTCCTTAGCTGGGAAGATGAAAACTGATAATATACTAAGAAAAACTGGATTTTCATATAGGATTGGCTTTTGCTTGTCTACATTTTCAAATTTCTTCATGTAATTCTCCAAAAATTGAGATATATATTTTTCATCTATTGATTGGTGGCCTTCAGGAGAAAATGTACTTAATTTGCCCTTGGGTGTAAGTGTTGTAATCAAATGCGCCAGCTCTTCAACTTCTGATTTTTCAACATTGGTAATCTCAACTGGTGCTTGATGACCAAAGGTAAAACTACTAAGAGGATTGTTGAAATTTGATTCAAGACTAGTTAATGAAGTGGTCAAGTCTGGAGTCATAGCTTGGCTGGGATTATTGGACAGAATTGAAGCAATGTGCCCTGTTGGCTCCAATGTGCCTGTGGTATCATGTTGTAAGAGTTCTGCAGCCATGTAACTGCCGGTTGGGTGAGTCAGCTCCATGGATGGAAATGTGTGAATGTTGGCCATAAAATAAATCATTGTACACACAGAAAACCATGAGGATTTGGAAAGATGATGAGAGCACATTTGGGAGATGATTTGAGTGAAAATGATGATGGGGTGAAGGTGACAGACACTACCTCCAAAACCCCTCACTTTTATAAGTTTGTCATACTTAAAATACATACTCCATGACATTGTAGCACCCAGAGAGCAGGATAACCATGAAGCATCAGGTACACAAAGCTGTGTTGAGTACATACTGTATGTATATTTTCCGGATGTTTCACTTTTTCAGAGCTTTTGAAGGTTGCCATATCCTGAGTGTACAAGACCTGAACAACTGTTTCTACCATCAGCACCGACTGCTTGGCCGGGTTTGTCTGAACGGTCCCCCATCAGCCTCTAGAACCATGCAATCAGACACAGCATAGAGCTGGTCTAATCAGCAGGTACCCCTGCCAGTAGTGCTCGCTCGCTGAGGCAATCTTTTCCGTGTATTTTATAGATCTTCAATTTTTTGCGAGGCACTGATTCTGTAGACTTCTTATGGCTATCATGCGGGTGTTCAAGCTTGGGATAGCGATGCGTCTGGACGCGATCACTCCGGCCAATTGTTGTACCTTCTGTGAGGGCAAGGACTGTTCAAATCCGCAGACTGTCGATGACAAGACTCAGATCAAACAGCTCGGCGATGACAAGTATTGGGAACCGTATACAATATATATACTGGACTGCTGAGTCTCAAGGGGTTGGCTGTTATACCGAAAGAAAGACACCTTTGATGTTACTCCGACGTGGAACTCCAGAATCTAGTCATGATACCAGTCGGGCCGGGGCAGATGTTGGATTTGCTGTCTGGCCATAATCTTTAAGCATAGATGTCAAACGACTGCGGGCTTGTTTTCCTTTGTCTGGGCTAGTTTCTCGATTTGACGTGTAAGCCGCTCGATGACCTGGTCTCGGTCTCTTTATGTGTCAGTGAGATGTGCTCCATCCTCAGAACTGCTGGTTAGTCGGTTGTGACGTCTTCATGTGGTCCGATGAATCATGGTTCAGCGGTTCTTCTGTGTTCATAGGGGAAAACTGAAGGGATAAGGTTATTGTTATGAGGTGGGAGGCACGTCGGCCATTAATGGAAATTGGATTGCAAACCTTCAAGAAATGCCCGCTTCATTTGCCTTTATGATAATTAATATTACACTTGAGCTATGAATGTTTAGTAGCAAGAAGCAAAGTATTGGAGAGTCTTCAATGTGGTTATGTGCAGATATCCACCTAGGAGCAAAGCGGTCCTGGTAGATGACAACTTGTGCCAAATAATGAGTGTACATAGCTCTTGTTTGTGAGAGTCAATCATGTTAGATGGACAGTTTGCTCATCATCGAGCATCTTGTACTTCTAGCCTGAGTTGCTAGGAGAATGGATAAATAGAGAATCGTATCGGCTAACAAAGTCAAGTATTTTATCGATTAGAAGTGAATGCAGAATACCCACCATCTCATTGGAGGATATACATCGGTACTATACACGTGATCAGCTTTAAAAGAATTTCAGAACGGAAGAGACTTTTCGCGGTTTTACGCAGTTTCGAAATGAGCAGTCCGCACAAACCAAGAGCTTCTTCAAGGCGTTTGATTTCAAAGAGCAGAACTATTTCACCATAATCAACAAACTTGATGGAATTTTAAGTATCAATTTACAAGCATGTATAGCCATGACAAAAGGAAAGAAAAGACGAATTGCTCGTGTTTGATTCCACTGCAAAGCTGAGCTCTACTTCATCGACGGCTGCTCCGTTGTGCTGAGAACTATCCAAGAGAAACCGAGCGAGATGAGGCCCCGGGATTACCGGTCAGGTCAATATCATGCAACATTCTCTCTTGTTCGATATTGCCTGCCACCTCGTGATCCTTGCGATCAGTATCGAAGGCAAGTGGTGGTAAGTTAGGACTTGAATGTTTTCTACTCTTCTTTCTCCGAGGGATTTGGAAGGGTGATCCGGGTTGACTTTCCGGAGTCTTCTTTTCTTCCTCCGTCCACTAAGTCCTATAATTCTGATGGTGATCTTCATCCTTGAAAGATGAATGGCTGGCTGACTATTGAGCTCCGAGGACGATGCTCGAGTATCCAATAGGGACCAGTCGGAGAGGACGGGGTGAGAATGAAGGGGATTCGGTTATTCCAATGAGCTGGCCTCTCGTCAAAGTGGTGTGTTTTGAATGAAGAGTTCTGGTTCGTAGCAGTGATGCTCGGTGCAGGTGTAGTGGCCCTAGATTTCTCGAGGGATCTGGAGTATCTTGCTTGACTTGCCGCATCGAATCGAATTTTGGGACGACTATGAAGCAGTCTGTCGAGTGCCTATAGAAAACTCTTCTTGACGATTGAAAACGCCCGAATGGCTCTGGACGAGATCTACCTTCAGTTTCTCTCGAGAACAATCATGCCCTAGTTTTGGTTGAGCTCGGCTTCTGATGAGCTGAGGCTTAGACTATCTCGACCTTCATTCCTTTGAGTCAAATTTATGAAATTGGCTGTGAGAGAGAAGCAAGAGTTAGATTCACTGGTGAATTCAATGGGATTGGTCATAGAAGAGAGAAGACCAACCTGTTCGACTTTCCTTATAATCCGGCCATAATTTATTAATACAACTCCTCGCAGATTCCTTCATGGTCAGTGTGAGTTTGTGGTAATTATCATGTCATGGTGGTAAACTTGTGCCGTGAGGACACCCCGCACACCAGGAATGGAGTGCCCACACTGCCCCCGGCTGACTAACTTGATCACTCCCATAGCCTGTTCAGCTTCAACCCCATTCGACTTCTCTCATCTTCACTACTTCATCACTACCTCATCTCATTCAACAACCCTTTCTTTCGTCACTTCAAGTAGATACATCGTACAAGACAAGATGGTAAATACAATTCAAAACTATCTACTTCATCATCCTATCATCTATCAAACTTACTGACTCAATCCCTTAACCCCTTCAATCCATTTTCCCAGGCCGGTGGCATGGAAAGAGCTAAGAAGGAGACGATCAAGATCGAATCAGAAGAGCGTGAATCGAAGTTTGGATCCGTCTTCTCAGTCTCTGGTCCGGTAGTCGTTGCCGAGCGGATGGCTGGCGCTGCCATGTACGAGTTGGTCCGTGTTGGACACGACGAACTGATCGGTGAGATCATCAGGATCGATGGCGATAGGGCTACCATTCAAGTTTATGAGGAAACCAGTGGGATGACCATTGGTGATCCTGTCCTTCGTACCGGGAAACCTCTAAGTGTCGAGCTCGGTCCCGGTCTCATGTCGGTAAGTCACTAGATCAGAGCAAAGTTCCGATCATCACATTTCACTCAAGCTGAGTTTAATTCATTCCATTCATTTTTTTTTCTGTCGTGAAACAAGAATATCTACGATGGCATCCAGAGACCATTAAAGTCAATCTCTGAACTCTCTAATTCGATTTATATTCCTCGTGGTATCAACACTCAAGCACTCGACCGATCCCGTCAATGGGAATTCACACCGACTAACTATCGAGTCGGTGATCATCTGAGCGGTGGTGATATCTATGGTACCGTATACGAAAACTCCTTAGTCTCAGCTCATAAGATTATGCTTCCCCCAAGAGCAATGGGTACTATCACTCATATTGTCGAGAAAGGCTCTTACTCGGTCGATGTGAGCCCTGTTCTTCTTCCTGTTGTCGTTTCCCTTCTTTTTCTGTTGAACTTGTTATTGACAAAAGCCTACTCCTCTTGACCTTTCCAGGATGTCATTTTGGAGACTGAGTTCGAAGGCAAGAAGACCACACACACCATGTGTCAACTATGGCCCGTTCGAGCGCCAAGACCGGTGGCCGAAAAACTGACTGCCGACTATCCCCTCTTGACCGGCCAGCGGGTTCTCGACTCCCTTTTTCCGTGGGCTTCGAAATTTTTCTTCTTTACGGATTATTATCAATTTACTCACTCGAATATTTTCTTTTGGGTAGGTGCGTCCAAGGTGGTACGACAGCCATTCCTGGTGCTTTTGGATGTGGTAAAACAGTGATCTCACAGGCCGTTTCCAAATTCTCAAACTCCGACATTATCATTTACGTGGGTTGTGGAGAACGGTAAGATAACTTGATTTGTCCTTTTTCAAGTACTATGTTTGACTTATTGGTCTTGTGATTCTCTATTTACGCAGTGGTAATGAGATGGCCGAAGTACTGATGGAATTTCCAGAACTTACGATGGATTTCAATGGGACGGAAGAACGTGAGTCTCAACTATCCGATCAAAGGACCAGGTCGACCACTGAAGCATTTTGCGTTCTAAATAGCGATCATGAAGCGTACCACCCTTGTTGCCAATACCTCCAACATGCCCGTCGCCGCTCGAGAGGCTTCTATTTACACCGGAATCACACTTTCCGAGTATTACAGAGATATGGGCATGAATATTGCGATGATGGCTGATTCTACCTCCCGTTGGGCTGAGGCACTCCGAGAAATCTCGGGTCGACTGGCTGAAATGCCTGCGGATTCTGGTTATCCTGCCTACCTGGGTACCAAGCTTGCCAGTTTTTACGAACGAGCTGGCAAAACTAAATGTCTTGGAAACCCAGAGCGATTTGGAACGGTATCCATCATTGGAGCGTGAGTTGAATATTTGTCTTTTCTCCTCAATTTACTCGTCTGATTGATTATTCTGTGCAGTGTATCGCCCCCTGGTGGTGACTTTTCAGACCCCGTCACCTTCCAAACCTTGGGGATTGTCCAAGTCTTCTGGGGATTAGACAAAAAACTGGCCCAGCGGAAGCATTTCCCTTCGGTCAACTGGAATTTATCTTATTCAAAGTAAGTTCCCCTACATGATAATTATATCATCCCCACTTATCTCCGATGGCTGACTTTACTCTACTCTCACAGATATATGTCGGTTCTCCAACCCTGGTATGCTAAAACTGAACCCGAGTTTGTAAACTTCAGGAGCAAAGCGAAGGACGTGCTCCAGAAGGAAGATGAGCTAGCTGAGATTGTCCAGCTGGTTGGGAAGAGTGCGCTAGGAGAGGGCGACAAAGTGACTTTGGACGTGGCTCGGCTTATCAAAGACGATTACTTGCAACAAAATGGAATGAGCAGCTACGATCGGTACTGTCCATTTGTAAGAACGTGTCATCCTTCTCACTCGGTATATCTTGGTTTGCTCGTATACTGATGAAATTAATGTTGACCGCTTCACCATAGTACAAAACCAATGCGATGCTTAAGAACTTGATGACTTACTACACCTGTGCCCAGAAGGCTGTCGAGTCCAACGTGGGTGGCAAGAATCTGACTTGGGCGAAAGTTCGAGACGCCACAAGCGATGAGTGGTATCGATTGAGTCAGATGAAATTTGAGGATCCTAAAGATGGTGAAGAGACTCTGCTTAAGAGGTTCCATCAACTCTGCGATGACATCACCAAGAAATTTGAAAGGTGTGTTCATATTCTTACAACTTTTCAATACTCAACTCTTGCGTCCCTCAGGTTGATGTGTATGATTTCTGTGCGCGGACTTTTTAATACAGCTTGGCCGACTGATTTAAATATGGATGATCATCAAGCTTGTCATCCATGTATCTAAACGCAAACAGGTCCGTGGCATTATGAGCATTGGTTGACAATGCAAGCATCCTGCTAAAAAAACCAATTTAGGATTTTTCTCCATCTTCTACTCTCCACAAGGTTTTCCATAGTTTTTTGTTGTATCCTATATTTTGTCTCCTTTATTTTCCTGGGTTGAATTCTGACTGAAAGATTTGAAAAACCCCAGTTGTGTCCTCCTGTGTCTTTGTTTTTGTTTCATTCTTTTTTTTATCCTTAGCATCAATTAGAAAAAAATCATCAATGTTTTCTTTTCTCTAATTTCCAAATATTATTTTTTTTGACTGTTTTTAGTTGAATCAAGTTCACATTTTACTTCTCATTTTTACCCACTGGTAATACTTTACTAGTTCTTTCTCAAAATGTATGTTTTTGAGATTATCTGGTACCAAAACATAACCTTTCATAAACAGCTCTTGGACATCTTTCTAATGAATTCTGAATTTATAAACATACTGGGTGTTAGGCAGCAAAGCGACCTCCCTGACACAGATCCCAGCTCAACTGTTGAGATCTGATCAGAATGTTCACTTTTAGTGGGGCAGAAGTGATCAAACTCGATTAGGAGAACTGATAGTGATAATTGGCTGTAGTAGACTAACATAAATAGACTGACTGCAAGAGGTCAACAAGTGGCTGCAAGAAAAATGAACAAAAAATTGTGAATGAAAAAGAAAAGAAGAATCAAAAAAGGATATGACAACAAACACCAGAAATGAACCCTCTTCAACCAAGAAGACAAGCAGACATTGAGTAATGTTGGAGTAACAACCCAACTTCATGTTGACTGGCAGCAGTTCCTTGAGATTTTTTCACAGTGTAGATTCAAGGCAAGAGATTGAGGAGGAAAAAGAAAGGATAAAGAGAAAGGAAATAGGGCCAAAATTCCAACATCAACATGTTGTGTTTGAAAGAAAGCTTGGATCCAATATTTTTTTCAAAAGTATGTACAATTTGTTTTTTTTATACTTTTCTTGTGCCCAAAACCCAAGTAAAGCTGAGTATCAGGAGGAACCTTCAGAACAAAGTTCATACAGTGTCATGCATGAAATTGCTTATCTTGTGACCCATCAAACTCTTTGCCATTTTCAAATTACACACCCAATAGGCCAGTTCACTTAGTGGCTTATTCACAAATGAAATTTCTGTGACAAGCAACACTTAACAACATCTCGCTTGAAGTTTGGTGAAGTCCCACACACAACATTAGCAAACAGTTGAAGCAACAAGCAGTGCAACTCCTCAGACTTGTCAATAAAAACGGTCTATGTGAACTGGGCTAATCATATTCCAATTCCCTCACGTACATTGATTTTGTTGGCTCAAACCAACATTTTCCATCAGCTTTCCCTTCAAAAGCAAGCACTCCTTATGTTTCCTACTCTCCCAAAATCAATGTTGTTGTGGTCTGGATGAAAATAGAAGGAGAATCACAATACTTCTTCAGACAGACTCTTGGATTTCAAATGTGGAACCAGTCTTTAAATCTCTGGAAAGAACTTTACCAGCAAACTTGTTGGGTGATTCAAAATACCAAATAATACAAGCTACTTGACAGATTCCAAACTTGAGGTCCAACTGGTGCACAATGAACCTGGCTTCAGCTTGGATGAAATTTGTAAGAAGTTTTGCAATTCAACTTGAACTTTACTCATTGTGTTAACAGTTCATGAGAATCTAATTAATAGCTTGTTGATAACTTTGAAGGAGGCTGAAACCTGCTGAAACTCCTGACTCTTGAAGTACTTACTCAAAAAGGTTCTATTTGGCCAACTATCTTGTGTTTATGGTTGAGTGATTTTTTTTAAATCTCTATCTTAAGCTGATTAAGCTGTTTCAGATTGAAGTACAATTTTAAATTGTGACTTGCTGAAGAACCTTTCACATTTTCCTTGCAGAACCCCTGTGGCTTGTTATATTGTCAGAACCCCAAGCACGCAAGCATCCTACATTGACTGCTTGCAAGTATACCTATGATGGGATAGAATTTGAGTGCTCTTTCATGTGGAAATTGGTGAGGCCTTTTAATTCAACCATTTTTGTTTTCTTTAACAATATGTGTCCCTCAGCATCTTTGAATGAACTGTTTCTGCTCCAAATTCAGCGCTTGGGTGTGGTAGCACTCATATCCATTGATGAAATCATTTTTAAAATATAGGTGAGCAGTTTGGTGTGCAGGTGACTTATCTACCTCTGTATTTTCCAGAGCTCAATCTGACTGAGCTTTGTTTTTCCAATCTGAAGTCCCATCTTCAATCAACCCAGGCTCTCTTGGTGCCGGTGGGTGACTAAACCTGCTGAATTGTACTGGTTTAGATACATCAGGAACACAGAAAGGAAAGCTTGGTTTGAGCTTGGCAAATGATTAAATGATGATAATAACTCAAATTGATTACATCTGGCCTGTAACTCTTTCTCATACCATCTTGTCAGATTGATGACATGGCATTACAAGCAGATATGTAGTGTTGGGTAACAAATCCACAAGATATGTGATTGTAGCCCAGAAGTAACTGAAGGCAATTTCAAGCTGATTTGGTTGGCATTTCCTTAGCTGCACCTTTGTGGTGGACCGAGCGAAGATAACATACACTGAGCAAGGTTAACTACAAAGCACAGAAAGAAAGAAAAGAAAAGAAAACAGGAAGAAATCTGTTTGAAGTACGCGGCCTTTCGTCCCAAAAACCCGGCGAAATCTCACAAGAGTGGCAAATACAAAGAGTAATGAGGCACTTTCTATAAGACGGGATAGCGTTACTCTGCTCATTGTGAAAAGATGCAAGAAAAATAGGAAATGTAAACCAGGCAGCTATCTCAGTCGTATCTTCTCCGCTTATCTCGATCGTCCTTGGCTGGCCTGTCATCATCATGTTTCCTCTTGTCGTAGTCGTCTGGTTCTCTTCGACTTCCACGGCGATCATCGTAGTCCTTATCTCGATAACCTCGGTGATCATCCCGACCACCCCTCCTGTCTCTGTCATCTCGAGAGTGGCGGTCACGGTCACGATCCCGATCCCTGTCTCGTTCCCGTTCCCTATCTCTGTCCCTATCCCTGTCTCTATCTCTGTCTCCAGCACTCGTACCAGCTGGCGGCGACATGCGTCCCTCGTGGTCTCGACCCTTGTCTCCTCGACTACCCCATCCGTTCTGTGAAGTAGACGGATTCTGTGCAGCAGCCGCTTGAGCTCGTTGTTGACCAAAGTGGGCAGCTTGAAGACCGGCAGTCAGACCGGGATTGTTGTTGAGGAGTGATGGTGCGTTGAGCCCGTGTGGTCGAGTGCGCCACTCTTCGATTGTTTGTCGAAGTTGTAGATATCCCAAGTGCATCTATTTAATCGGTCATAAGGAAAACAAGTTAGAGAAATGTTGACTTTTTAAAGTCATCGCAATCAACTTACTTTACCACCGAAATGATCGGCTAGACGTCGATCACTGTCTAGTATCGAAAGGTAAGCTCCACAAATGTCGCAGACACGCAGCTTCTGATGACCAGACGCTCCAGAAGTTTCTACAGAGATTGTGCAATTAGTGAAGATGACAAGCCAATCAACCGAAGATTCATAGACTCCACTCACCAGTTAACTGTTGCAGTTCTCGTTCTTTCTCCAGCTTTTCAGCTTTAAGAGCTTCAGCTTTGGCCAACTCGGCCATGGATTGATCAACTTGACCGGATTCCCCTGGGATTCATCAAGAAGCATCGGAAAAAGAAGAAGAAGAACCTGTTAATCCAACGGACTATGTGCTGTAAGAAGCAGCGAAGTAACCACCGACCTAGATTTTCAACTTCGGCCATGGCCCCTTCGTACGCTGTTTGAATTTCTCCAATCTCACGCATCTAAAGAAATTCAGTTCGAAATTTTGTTAGTGGTAAGCCAATCAGAATAGCCGACTCCAAGAAGGAAGGCCCATACTAACCAGGGCGGTGGTTCGATTGTTTTCTTCCGGTGTTTTCTCTAGACGCTTTTGGGCCGCCCTAATACGCCTATCGCATTCTTCGACGAAGCCAAGGATGTTATTTTCGTATTCTCTTCTCATCGATTGAACTTAGGGGGTGCAACATTTCGTTTGTTTATCAATGTTTTCATTTTGCCTTCGATTGAATAATGTGATTAATATGAAAAATCAACTGACGTTCGTGAGGAGAAACGATCTCGGTACTTTCCTCTGGATTGTCGCTTTGACTGCGTTTCAAGGCTGCTTCGTACTCGCCTTTCAATTTTTGAGAATGGGTCTTCGCACAGGCGCCCAAGTCCATTTTCTTTTATCCACAAAACCAACGTAGCAAATCGATGTTAGCTCCATATCGATCATGAGTTGAGGTAGGGCGAGGGAAAATCAGGGAGAAGAACTGAACGGTGTTTGTAAATAGGTCGTGAGGACATGCTCCACAAAGGTAGCTTCGGCAGACTTTCGGGTCGGTGAACTTCAAGTCGACTTGGATCTATGGTGGACAAATGATCGATGTCAGTTTTTCAGGATGAACTTTGCAGGAGTGGTTTTTTTTTTACTTACTATCCCCATGGCTTCCGCGCCCATGAGATGCTCCAAGTTCTATTTTAGGGACGGGATTCATTATTCGGTCAGTATGTTTATGCTAAGATGGTTTGGAATGTTCTCTTACCTTGCGTTGTAGTTCGGCCAGTCGACCCATCCTGATGATGCTCGTCCTGTATTCAGCAGTGATCGATGGCTTTTTCTCCCTTGGAAATCGTTCGTGGTCTTCCTTTGGATGTTGGGCTGTGTGGCTTCAGGGCGGGTTGTGTGTTGGGTGCCGACTGCCGTGGTGGTGGCTGAGCCGAGTGTGGCCACCCTCGACAGCCCCGGTCTTCGGGTTCCTCCGGGTCAGACCGTTGAGTCAGTTTACGCGTCTGCTTCATATCCGACCGTGGGCCGCCCATGGTGCTGTTGCAAGATTTGCCCAGGTTCGCTCGTCAGCTCAATCCGAACTTATCATCAATCTCGATAGACCAAACGATGTCCACCTACGCCTCGCGCTACACAGATGGGGACGATTACGGCGGTGGTGGAGGAGGAGGGTTCATGCAAGGTGAGCTAGCGATCATCAGGTCAAAAAACGCGCATCTCAACGATCGACTTGCATCAATCGACTTACCTCCGTTCCTCCACGTGGATCTATCTCGAATCGGACTGGATTCCTCGCCATAGGCTCCCAGAATAACAATACACCCGGTGGCACCCGCCGTGTCGAACAAGCTCTACGGCCCGTGACGATCAAACAAGTGCTGGATGCCGAAGCCTCAAACACCGACTCAGCAATTTCGATCCAAGATATCGATGTCACTAATGTTCGCATCCTGCTTCTCCTCATCCTCATTCGCCGAGCATAATCACTCACTTCTATCCCCTCAAAACATCCGATCGACTCCCTTGAACCCAGGTCTCGTTCTGTGGAGTGGTTCGTGATATTGTCAGGAACGCAACCAACGTACTGTTGCAGGTCGAAGATGGAACAGGCGGAATCGAAGTCCGAAAGTGGATCGATTCGAGCGATGGGGAGAGCGAAGGATTCGAGGCTGAGACGGGAATTCAGTTTCGTGAATCCGATCGATCATCTTTGATCCCAATCATTCTGATGTGTTTTTTCTTTTTTTTTAAAATCAATTATCAATTGATAAAACTGCATAGAATTCGAGATTGGGTACGAGTGATTGGATCACCAAAACTGTTTAATAACAAGAAGAATGTCGCTGGACTCCGTATAGAGAAAATTACCGATTTTAACGAAATCAACTATCGTCTTCTCGATGCAGTCCGAGTCACACTGGCTTAAGAACGCGGAGCAACGGTTTGTATTTCCTTGTTATGGCCTTTCCTCTGCTCAGCCAAGTCGAAGCTGATCTTTCTCCTGACTGCTACTACTCACAGGGCGCCGGTGATAAGATGAACATCGATCAGTCAACCAACCACACTACTCATGGAAAGATTATCCAAGCTAAAACCCCAACCGAACTCCTAAGCAGAATAAGATCATGGAGTATTTTGCTAGCATTCAACCTCCTGATGAGGGCATTAACATCCACGAGATTGCGAGGCAGTGCAATCTTGACGTGAAAGAGGTGATGTGAGTGCTTGGAGTAATTTTTGATAGCCGTCTTTGAGTAAACTGATTATTTCTGGTTTGTATTCTTTGTTTTGGGGCATAGTGACGAAACGGCACAGCTGATCCATGAAGGCGAGTTGTTTACAACAGTGGACGATGAACAGTACGTGCATTTTTTACATTTTCTTTGATGGAAGATGAATTGCTGATTGAATACTGCACAACTTATTTATTTTTGTTCTTGAAGTCTCATGACTACAACCTCCTAAGTTGTTGAGCTAAAAAATCACTTGCCTATTGGCTTGTTGTGGGGGATAGCCATTGTGGATGGGGAGGGCGTCCTATCCAATCTATATCCTCTTTCCTCCCTCATGTTGGTTTCTCCTGGGCCCATCATCCTACCATAGCCAATAGGATGAGATAATGGGTCTGAAGATCAACTGTGTGATCCGTTTGGGTGCTCCTACTGTATCATTAAATTCCCATTTCTCTAGGTATCAAGCAAGTTTAGCCATGGGTTATGTTTTTTTTTGTCTTGTTCTGTTTGCTGGATGCCTTTCTTGAAGTACATCATTGATACATGCCACAATGATTAATCACAAGAGGCTGGTGATCATGAATTGCCTGGTCAGTTCACACCTGACTGTGCATGGGCTGATTTGCATTTTGAGCACATCACAGATCCTCTGGGTGATAACCCACAGATATAGCCAACACATTCCTCATTGCAGCCTTTGAGATGTGGCAATGAGGATGAATATTTTGTACTGCCTTCTGTGCTTCAGTTCCATTGAGACCAAGTATTTTCAATTGTTATTGTAGAAGTCTATAGGGAAGGCAATTGGGCTGGGTGTCCAATGGGCTGCCTGAGCTCAATCAGTTTTGGGCCAGGTTTGGCCTGAATCCGCTTGAAAAAAAGATACTGTCAGCCTGGCCCAAGCCTTTAGCCAGGCTTGGTGGGCTACCCATTGGACTCCTGCAGGGTTTCCCCCTATCAGGGTGCCCAGCTGGGGGTACTGGGTCAGGTGGCCTGGGAGTGACTGAGAGACTGACTCAGCTACAGCAGCAGCCTCTCCAAATAAGTCTGATCCTTCTTTTGCTGGGTGTCATGAAGCAACCCTCCAAAGGAGGGACTTGGATACTAAAACACATTTGCTGCATGAGCAGGATTCATGTTTTTGGTAGTGGTGCCCTTACATGCCTCATCACACCTTCAATACCTCCTAGATTCTTTCTAGGTCCTGGTACATTGAAGATCTGCATCTTCTTGATTTTTAACTTTTTTTTTGTTGCAAAGGTATGTTTGATTCTAGCCAAAAAATTGAATTGAAGTTCACAATTCTGAACTTTGATTTGTAAATTTGGCAGGGATCCTCAAGCACACTCTCACTATAAGCATATTTCATGCCTGCAAAATGAAAAATTCCCTTTTTTGTTTATTTTTTTAAAAAAGATTGGTATGGAAACAAAAATATTAAAAAATTACCAAAAATACAACAAGGAATGAAGAAAAAAGGAAAAAATAAAACATTTCAAAACAAGAGATGGGGAAGCCAAAGGAGGAAGTGTCAAAAAGGACCTTCAAATTGCAACCTGCTGAGGCCAACTTTGTGTTTTGAAAGTATTGTTAATCAATGGACTAAAGAATGTATTTCATTAACACTGGTTTAAGGAAGTACAAATAAGAAAAAGAAAGAAATGAAATAATCACCTAAAGCAGTAGATGACAAAAGAAAGGACAACAACATGTTATAATGTGATGAGAATGGAAAGAGAAAAGAATTCTAACAAAGAGAATGTGGTTAATACAGGAACAACAAATGAGAGAAGACCTATGTCAGTGACCTACATAGAAGAGATGATAGGAAGGTGAGGATCAACGAGTTTGTTGGATAGAATGGATAGAAACTAGGAGAGACAATAGGAAGGTGAGGATCAATGAGTTTGTTGAGTCAAAGAGATAGCCAATGAATGTTGTTAGATATGTAGAGACAATTTTTGGATAAGAATGATAATATGAGATCAAGTATGATAATGGTCTTGTTATGAAGAGAAGAGGAATTGAGCTGTTCAATGAGATTGATGATGTGGATGAGTGAGAAATAGTAAGATTTTGTTCCTGAGGACTGGAGGGAAGAAACTATTCGAGGCGAATGAGAGATGTGATAAGGAAAAAGAAAGAGGATCATGCAATGTGCTTTGACAATTCAAGTGTAGTGACAAGGAAAGAGGAACAAGCAAGATGCTCAGATAATTCAGATGAGATGATGTCATTCCGTAGGCTTGAGCCAAATGACATCATCATTTCAATATTGAGGGAGAAAAATAGGCTAAGGATTAAGTGAGTTCAGGAGCTTGAGCCTAGACTTCAATAAGTATAAGCCTCTCTGGTCCAGGTCAACCTGCCTGCCTGGCACTCTCATGACAAGAGGCTTAGTCAAGCTTGCTGCCTCTCAGGGGTCCAAGTTGGAACTCAGACCCTTCCTGAGCAGCATCTTGGCAAGTTTCAGTCATAGGCAACTGTCAATGTCACTCACTGGGCTAGCTTAACAAAATCCCCTTGACAGAGGGCTGGAGGCACCTTGCAAAGTGAGCCTCTGAAAGAGTGGCTTATGAATCAAGTCAAAATTTTGGCCTGGAAGCTGGTACAGTTTGTGGCATTTCATTGGTATTTTCCTCTATACTGTCCATTACTCCTGGCCCATCCAACAAACATGGCTGCGGCTAGGTTTGTCACATACATGACCATATGACCTTGGTTTCCATATATTTTTATTTTTTATTTCATTGGCTAACACTAATCTCTCCTTTGGAGAGAAATTTGAGGACTTCATTTGACCCAAAACTGAGCTTATTGCATTTGAGGTGGTACAACACATACTATTTCCATTTCCATTACAGCTAGCACATGGGGACTGTTGTTCATTCTGTACAGGTATTATGAAGTCCAAAAAGCTGTACTTTATTACTGTTGGATAATTGGTGCAGGCCATATGTACCATATGCAGATCCCTGATAGTCCATAAGTCATTACTGGCATATTATGACAGAATATGCGAGAATTTTGACAAAGGAACCTGAGGACCTTCTTCATCCTCATAGCAAAATTACCTTTTTTGAAGGCAGGTAGGGCCAAGACTAGAGGGTTCCTAGCTTTGGGAGTGAGACAGAAAATCAGACCCAATAGAGGCCATTTCCCTAGTCCAAACAGATGAACAAATTTCTGTGAGGAAGTGGGCAAGATGGTGTGCACAAACTTTTCCCCTACTAACAACCCCGAGCTTCCAGCTGGAAATGTGACATTCCTTGCAAGTCCCTCCTTTGGAGGCTTGCTTTGCAGGGGGTGCTTGTGCCAGGCCCTCTGATTGAGGGACTTGGTTTAAGTTAGCTCACTAGGTTGCTTGAACATTGGTTGATGGAGGACCCAGGAAACCTCCTATAAATGTTGGTAATGAAATTCCTGGATTATGTATGCTTGAGGAAAAATCCCCCCAAAAAAGCAGGGTCTAGACATTTTGGCAGGTTTCACTCAGCATTGAGCCACTTTTCATACATTTAGACTCAGTTTTCTGTGTAACATTTCTGCTGGCCAAACCAATGCATACCACTTTTGTGTGTATGATTTTTTTTTTTTTTGAAAACATGCATACATTTATGTTACTGACATACTTTGAGGGTTTCCTGGGTCCTGTCAAGGGTTGTTGGCAGCACCACTTTGCTTGTGCTTCCTTCCTTGTTTGCCAGAGCCTATCACTACAGTCCTTGCTGTTCTGGCAGCCCATGGGTGGCCCATCTGCCAAATGGGTCCAAGCTAGGCTGGCCCATCTGCCAAATGGGTCCAAGCTAGGGCTGGCCTGCCTGCCAAGATGGCAGGTTCCAGCGGGCCAGCCCACGGGTGGCCCAAGCCTGCCTGTTTGCCATCCCTAGAAGTCTATCAGCTATTGAGATTTTGCAGGATTAAATTAAACCAGTTTCTTGTTCAAGAATGGAGGACTTCCCATTGATTTTACAGCCCCCCTGGAGAGCTACATATTTTTACAGGCTGTAAAACCGTTTGCCCGCAAAAACTTAGCTCTACAGCCTGTAAATCTAGCTTTACAAGGCCTGTAAAAACCACAGGAAGTCCTCCAATCTCAAAGTTTTTTTTACAGCCTATGAACATCCTGACATGTACATGTGTATGATGGTCTCAATGGGACATCCAACTTTCACATGTTTCTCTTTTCCCACCTTTCCTCTCTTTTTCTCTCACATAATGTACTGGACTAAAAGCAATCTTGTTTCTTCCTCCTTGGATGCATAATTTTTTCATCTTCCTTGTGTACATATAATTTTGTACTGAGCCTGGTTTGTGATGGGTTTAAGCAGTGAATCTGATGATTTATGGTGGGTGTTTCTCTTTGGTGAGGAATTCCCAGCTCGGCTTAGTCAGCCATCATCACCCAAACTTCCAACTGCCACTCCCCATCACCACACACCACCAACAGCACCACCACCACCCTCGACACCACCCCACTCACCAGAGAAACATATCCAAGCCAACAACTACCAGATGGCCGACTCACATCCACTCCAATCGAACAACATCAACAACAACAACGGACAGTCGAGCTCATCAAAACCAGCAGGCTCTCAACTGCCATCATCCACTTCAGCTAGCACACTGACCGAGTTGAGTGATCAGAGAGGAGAAGAGTCTCTTCTCAAAAGATATCAACTAACAAACTGGACTTTCTCATCGGTCACAGTGGTTTCGCCCACGCGGCACTCAAGAAATTCAAACTAGTCTTTTTGGGCGAACAGTCTGGTGAGTCTGATCGTAAATAGAAGTTCGAATTACCGAGGAAAACTAACAGTACATAGCGTACTGACAATGTTTGATTTGATATCTAGTCGGCAAGACTTCACTGATCACTCGGTTCATGTATGATACCTTTGATAACACCTATCAGGCTACAATCGGCATCGACTTCCTAAGTAAAACGATGTACCTTGAAGACCGTACCGTACGATTACAACTCTGGGATACAGCTGGTCAGGAGAGGTAACTCCCTTACCCTCTAAAAAAAACTCCCCTCCCATTTTAAAGCTGCACGGCGTAACTCACAACCTCTTTCTTTTGCCAAACTGTATAGGTTCCGCTCACTGATACCTTCGTATATTCGTGACTCGTCAGTAGCCGTGGTGGTCTATGATGTCACTAGTACCTCTTCATTCTTATTCTCTACCTGTCCACGATTACCCCCCATCAAATAATTCATATCTTTCGAGAGTTTTCAAAACTGACTAGTCGTCTCACATCGTGTTCTTTTTTTTTTCTAGATCGGACATCCTTTATCAACACATCCCGATGGGTTGATGATGTACGAGCCGAGAGGGGCAATGATGTGATCATTGTGCTAGTTGGAAACAAGACAGATCTTGGAGACAGACGGTAAGTGGGGAGGAAAGAAATTTGAACGGGGCTTATGATGTGGGAGACAGAGGGATGGGCAAATTCACTTATCTGATCGTGGATCTAGTCAAGTCTCCACAGAGGAAGCCGAGCGAAAATCGAAGGAACTCGATGTGATGTTCATCGAAACCTCGGCCAAGGCTGGACATAACGTCAAGACTCTCTTCAAGAAGATCGCCCAGGCACTGCCCGGAATGGATAGCGAATCACAGACTACCACTCCTGCAAACCAGAGTCTGTGCCCTGCTTGCTTTTTATTGCTCTCATCCCTTCTAAAGATTCATCACTTAAACTCGCGTCCTCTTGTGTTATCCTTAGCAATCGATGTTTCAGTTTCTCCGACTACAAATGATCAGCAGAGCGGTTGTGCTTGTTAAAGCTGTTGGATGAGAACACGGCGATCATCAAGAAGAAAAATAGAAACAAAACACAAAGCAAAGTTCTTGGTCTGGTCCTCATTCTTCTCTAGAGCTTTTCTGATTCTTTCTTCTTCTTTTAATGGTCTTAGTAACACTTTGTAGCCTTGAGCGCTAAATTGATACTTTGTAACTTCTGCTAGGATGTTTTGAATACTCTTTTTTCTATATTTTGCTCTATTCTTCACAAACCGTCAATTCCTATCTTTTTTCTTTGAATGTTTGGGTTGACATATTCCTTCCAACAGGGTCTCAATTTGGGCCATTTCTAAGCATTTGTTTCCTTTTTTTTTGGTAGTACCTCTTCTTGTCCCTTGCTTACAGGATTTTTCTTTTCTTTTATAAATATTACATGTTTTTTTTTTTTAAAAAAAAGAGACCATCTTTGAGGGATCTCGAGAGTGGTCAAAATCATCGCCCAATTAAGCAGCTTGTTTGAGTTCTTAGAGCTGCCTCCAGGGACAAAGGACTGCAATCAAGAACAATGGCACATTAGATGGCGCGTTGCAGTGCAGTGAGAGTACCACTGAGGTTGGATCCCTATTATCCTCTTCGACAAATTTTGTATAGTATCTCAAATTCAGTCAACAACTGTCCAAAGCATCAAAGAAAACACCTCAAAATCACTCATTTAATATGTTTTGATCCTTTTCGAAAAAGAAAAGGAGATATCGTCATCCTTGGTGGAAGAGTGACTGATGACAAGGGATAACGTGGATTTTTTTTTTCAAAGGAATAACTTGATGAGTGAATGCCATCCGGCCAAAGTTCCTCGCTGATCCCGATAGATTTTGAGCAGCGATTCCTTCCATCTAGCGTCCGTTCCAAACTATAAGCATCCACAGAGAATGAATGTGGTAGACGGTCTCAGCTTATGGAATCTCAAGGAAGACAACCCCTAAAACAATTCATCTTTTGTACGTACATCATGGCTGGGCTCTTCTCGGCAAGGAAACTGAATCTGGGGCGAGGCGAATAAACACTTCGCCGGAGTCGGACTTGGGTTTTTCTCTTCGGATTCTCCATCCATTTGATCCAGAATTTTTTGGATAAGAACGTCTAGAGTTTTCAACTGACTGATGATTTTCGTCTTGGTGGCTTTTAACGTCTTGTTGACCTTGCGAAGAATAAAACAAAAATCAACGATACTGCCCATGCAAGAACGGCAGTTAATTGACCAATGAGCCACTCACAACTTTGTTCCCTTTGGAGGGTGATGAGTTACAGATGTATTGTTCGTGTGCAAACTCAAATAAACATAAGCCCTGGGAGACGAGTAAAGTCAGCGACACTCGAGCATTAGAGTGGCTAGCCAATCCACGTACCTCATACACACTATGAATGATAGCCAGCAGTTGGCAGGGAGGGACTGGTCTTCCTGAGAGATCGGTGGATGGCTTGCTCAAAGCTTCGACTTCATCGTTACGACCTGCAAGCGACTCTTGTCAACAAACTAACCCCCGGCGGAATTGGGGAATTGCTCTTCAAGGAGAAGCATACGTTGGAAAAAATCGACCAGGCTTTGAGATTGAGAGTCAAGGAGATTAGGTTGAGCAGATCCTAGTAATGTTGACAACGTCTTCGAATATTGGTATAGGTCGACTTCGAATGAAGAGCACTAGTACAGAAACCGATACATGTTAGTGTCTAGGTCGGGAAAGCCATTTAGGCCAAGCAAAATTTTTGGATAACCAATCGATCTTGGGATTTTGGAACATCAAAAATTATGAATGCTCGGATTTACCTCTGAGAAGAAATCGGGCTGGGAAAGAGATGGATGGTCGAGAAATTTCAAATGCGGCGTAATTATCCGGGCGTAGGTAGTACTTAAAATCCACAGCCAACGATTCTATACCAACAAATTAGTTTAGGAGCAAGATAAACATTTGTAACCATCAAGTTAGTGGATACGAAACTGAGATAAGAGCAAGTGGACTCTGTGATCTTACTCCTAGCATTGGCCCCAAACTTGTCTGGTGGCAAGTTCCCGAACTGGACCACGAACGGCAATCGGGTATCACAGTGAAATCCCGATTGTCTATCAAGCAATGTTAAAAAAAACGGGCGTCAAGACACAAACTGGCTCTTCCAATGATCGTGAGCTTACCTATTGTCGACTGGCAATCTTGCAAGACTTCGAATAGGTTCATCTCGACCTCGTCTTCATCCCAGATTGGGGTACCGTCATCGGACTCCGACCTCATCCGCGTCGTCCCGTTTTTCTTCGAGGTGCTCAGCGACAACCTAGTCTTTTCAAAAAGCAACAATCGGATCCGTTCCATACGTAGGACCTTCCTTTGCAATGAAACGTTGATTTGGCGCTTGAAGAAACTCAGATCCTCGACCTTGATATAATTTCCACTCATGTAACAATTGTTGATCCAGGTTGAGGTCTACATTGGATCCTTTGACAATTTGAGAGCGTGCAGAATCCACAAACGCAATGGAGAACCGAATCGTTCATCGTTGTTCAGAAGGGTATCCAAGTGAATTGTTAGTCGAGGAAAGGAGAAAGATCGGGAGCCAAGAGCATCAGCACAAGATCAGGAGGTTGAAATTGATTGATTCCAGTGACTGACATCGGATTCTATGTATTCGTAAAATGAAGCGGGGTACTCGATTAAATCGAGAACGCGTAGAGGTTTACTCTGTTCGTCTTCTTCACCACTAGGAAGGAAGTGATGACTGAAGAAGATTGAGGACCTATCTAAGCCGAGATGGCTCAAAGTGTCGTATTGAATGTGCTTGATGCCAAATCCGACAAAGAGATTTAAGCTTCGGGGCAAGTTTCCTGAAACATACATAAATATGAGTTTGGTTGAGTGAGTTTGTTGAGATGAGAAAAAGTCCCTGACCTATGAGCCTGTGAAGACGAATCAACAAGCTGCGAGCCTGGTATTGTGCAGGACTCTTAGCCAAGCACTCTTCTAAGATGTAGATCGCGGCATACAAATTCGCAACACTGCCTTGATACAATGTTTGATTAGTGAGTTTAGGATTGAAACTCCTAAGGCAGATCGACCGTTTACTCACCATTGAGACCTTCATAGTCTTCTATCAACGCTTGCGCGGCCAAGATAGCCATACCATCGGCTGGCTGAAGAGTCGTGGTGGGCAAGTCATTACCTAAGGATGGACAAGCGGACCAATCAATTCCTGCGCTAAAGAGAGGTCGTAAAGAAGTGTTTGGGAAAACCGAAATTTACCCAACGGTAAATATTTGAAGTAGCTTCTCATGAGTCTCGTGGCTTCAGCGGCGTGCTGGTCCCGAGGAGGCAAGCTAATAGATCGGAGGATCTTTTCCAGGTTGATTTGCTTCCGAAGAGATGCCTCACACTGCAGCGAAGATGTCAATGAGGGTTAACTACACAGTATATGAAACGAAAAGACAAGCAGGAGTTGACCTACTGAGGAAGAGCACTGGTCACTTTCACTCCTGCTGGTTTGACACAACGCGGCTCCAAGTTTGTTGGCCTCATCAGCCGTCAATAATTTAAGGTATGGTACCAGATCGTCAAAGCAGCATATTTTTTCACCAAATTGGTCATAGTAGGCGAATACGACCTTGTCCAAATTTTCTTAGTTTCGCAGAGAGATCAGAATAGAAAATCAATGAAGTTGTCTTATGTGTTTTTTGTTGTTTGGTCGATAAAATGAACAAGAAACAAAAAATACCTGAAAGTGGGTGAAAATTCTTCTTCAGCTCAGAAAGTGACGGATCTCGTACGCGGCACCTCAGGTCGACCCGAGCTAGGGCATAGCCCCTGTCACTACATTTTTCAGCTTGTTGTTTTGCGTTCAGTTCGAGGTATAGGGTGTCGATCAAATTGTATTCATTGACGCCCGCTTCTTCTTCAAGTCGAAGCAAATTTGAAGCACTCTGATTCAACGTGGTCATCGTGCTCCAGTTATGGTCACTAGGTCATATATAAGAGAAAGATTATGAACAGCTTCGAGAAGATTCTTGTAGGATAAGAACAAAACTCACTCTGATTCTAGCCGCTGCTTCATCCGAGCAATGAGCTCTTTCAAGCCTGTAGGATTTGCCCACTCAACGGCGCGCTGTCGCCACATGAGTTCTAGATTGAGATACTTGATTCTCATCATCTGACCCAAACTGCTGTCGAATATTTTGAAGTAGTCCTCCCTTGCCAGTGAAATGTACTCTGGATTTTCAGGGCGCCTAGACTCTATAAGACGTGCCCGGCCTGGAGAAGACTCCACAGACAGACTCGCCAGTTGGGAGATAGTTGAGGCTTCTGCGCCCGAGCTTGCTGTGGCCGTGTTCAATTGATCGGAAGTGGATGATGGCTGGAAGAGGGATTCTGGATACTTCAACTTGCCGATTCCGAGGATCTTGGAATGGTCATCTTCCGGGTGGGATTGTCCGACCATCTCCAAGACTTTGAGGACCATCCAAAGATTGTTGGGATCCTCGAGTTCGGGCGGATGTGATGGTTGATTGTTTAGCTTGATAAACTGATCCAAGAGTGTCTGGAGACAACGATGAGCGATTGAAACTGAGATCGGACTCCGTGTGCCGGCATGGCCATTACATCGATTGGGCGCCTGGAGGAGCATGGGGAGAAGGGCCCAGTTGAGGTAGAGCGTTTCATTTGGGAAGGCCTTGTGCAGCTTGAGGGCAATCTGTTTAACACATTCAGATTTTTGATCGAACCAGTCCCTCGTCAGCAGATGTTCAACCTTGGGGGTGTGGCAGTCAACAGGCAGCACTCACCTGCTGTTGGTCCTTGAGTTTCCCTAGTCCTGCCAAGCTCAAGAATGTGTCCATTGCGATTGGCCGATGATACTTGTCCTCCATCCTTGCACGCGCCCGGCCTTTTAAAGGCAGCCCGGCCCCTGCTGTCACACACCAGTCTCCTGCCTGTCACATCCCCCCCCCCACTGTATCCAACTGTATTCATGTGCTCTCCCCCGTCTTGGCACTGACACCCCCTCTCCGCCATTTCTTCTTGTGGACTGACTATATTTTGTCAAAAGATATTCTTCTCCATCTTCATCAACCCAAGATTTGACCTTCAAAGTCGACCAACCTCCGGGCATCCCCTATCCCAGGCCATGGAACCCAAATTCGCCCTGGGTTCAATCCGAACCGAAGTCCCCAGAGAATTTCCCAAATCCAAACAGGCCAACCGGCTGTTTGGCCTCGAACATTGTCCTGTGTTTTATCCAACGATAGACGAGTTCAAAGAGCCCATGAAGTATTTTGAATCGATTGGCTCAAAGCTCAAGCCGTTTGGCATCGGAAAGATTGTCCCCCCAGTCGGATGGAAACCTCCGTTTGTCTTAGACACAGATGTGGGCTTCCCCCTACCTTTTTCTCTTTCCCTCTCTTTCCCTCTCTCTTCCCCCCCTTTTTTTTTCTTTCTTTTCTTCCTTTAGTGCTTCTGCCATATTGGTAGCAGCCGCCCTTTTGAGATTGTTATCATCTTATCTCACCACAACTTTCTCCCTTGGGGAATTGGCGGTTCCTTGATCCAGCAATTTAAATTTAAGACTCGGCTCCAACGACTTAACTCGATGGAAGCATCCGCCCGAGCAAACGTAAACTTTTTGGAACAACTATACCTGTTCCACAAGCAGCGCGGCTCGGCTGGGTTGGTCAACTCAACCTCACAACTCCAGGTACCGGTGATTGATCATCGTCCAGTTGATCTGTGGAGACTGAGGAAGGAGATCAATGAGCTGGGTGGCTATGACACTGTTGAGTACTGCATTCCAACTTCCACCATGTCAATGGCCTCTGGGAACTGACGCCCCACACCAAAATCCTGATATCCACATCAACTTTCTTCATATGATATATATTTTCAGATCACCTTGCAGCGCAAATGGTCTTTCCTAGCCAAGACCATGGGATACAATGTCAAGACTTCTCCGGCAGTTTCCTTCAAGTTGAAATCCGCATACGCCAAGATCATCGCCCCCTTTGATGAATATTTCAATCGGATCAAGCAGAGTCCACCCAAACCCACCACTCACCTTGCTCATCGGGACCGCTCCCCAGCTGACTCGCTCTCACCCCTGAGCTCCTCCCTCGCTGACCATGACGAGGCCAACCGAGTCTCAGGCTCAAAGGAACTCAAAAAGCATGATGATGGTCTAATCACCGACGAATCTGTCAAGCTGCCTGCCAACGCTCAGGGCCCTTCTACCCGCAAAGCCTCAATGAGTCAGTACTTCAGATAATCTCCTCAAACGTCGATACAGCCTTTGTATTAATATCCTCCGTAATAATAGCTTCTACTGATAATCCTTTAGAAGGTTAGAACATCAAGTTCACATATTCCCATCAGTCCCAGTCCATCACTATGGGGTTTCTTTCCATTCGTCCTGGGAAGCCAAAAGATGTATAAATTGGAGTGACTAAAGTAGTTGCCCACTCTCTCGACAACCTTTTTTTTATTTTGAAAAAAAAAAAAAATGAATAGAAAAACCCAGATCTTCCACTCGCCCAATCAGGCGGCCATCAACAAGTCATCCGTCTACTAGTCATGACCTAGATACGAGCATGGACCACGGTGGTGATGTAAGTCAATTCTCAACCTTTCCGCTTCTTTGCAGTCCTCTCCACGTACATTCAATCAAACGATTAAAAGCTACCATTGTATTTGACTTAGATATGTGAGATCTGTGGTTCAGATGAAGACGACCCAAATATCCTACTGTGTGATAGCTGCGACAAAGGTATGGTACTCTGACTTGAGATACATGACGTGATTCCCCCATCAGCTGACTCGTTAAATTGGAATTATGATTCTGCTGGTCCCGACTTATCTTATCAACGACAAATCCTACGACAGGATATCATCTTCAGTGCCTGACGCCTCCATTGTTGACCGTTCCCGAAGGAAACTGGTATTGCGATGCGTGCATCGTCTCAACCGGAAATGAGTTTGGATTTGAAGAGGGGAGAGACACACTCTTTCTAGTTTTCAGCGACGAGCGGACGGATTCAAAAGATGTGGCTTGAAACTCA